GGGATTCGACGCCGAGTGTGACGCTTCTCAGAGCGACAAAGCTCCCCGTCTCGTCGACCCAACGGAGCGCACGCGACTTCGAGATCGCTACGAGCGTTTTGAATGCTGCGAGCCCGAAGAAGATGCCGGAGTAGAAAGCGTCGCCGGGGCGGATACTGCTTTTGAGTACTGGAGGTCAGTGCTCTGTGAACTAGAGGTGACAATGATCCACCAGTTACTCGTGAGGGCAGCGCGCCAGACTTCGCTGGCTTTCCTCAAGCTGCTGACGTAGCTTCCTTCGCCGAAGAAATCAATTTTGCCACCGTATTAAAGGTGATTAAAGTACAGTCTTCCGCGCCGATCCCAGACCCAGATAGACGACCTTTTCCGAATCACAACGACAGACGCTTTCCTCAAGAAAAGAAATTATTAGTGCTGCGAGGTCAAAAGGTTACCTTGGTGGAGCTGTCGAAGACACCGGATTCACCGTCGACTCAACCAGGTATGTTCAAACCGCTATCTGCGTGTTATCACATAGCTCATAGCAATTTTGAATTTTATGATACAGTTTGGCACTTCGCAAGTCCGCAGCCACTTCGACGTCAGCGGTAAAAGCAGATTAAGGTGGCAAGACATGCTTCGATATAGCCACGATCAGCTTTGCTCAGATATTTGTTTTTTCATCTCGTACACGGTTGTCTTATACTGATGTTTAGAACATATGTCTTGACGTACGTCGTTCTATACACAATAAACACCCGTCAGCTTCTCGTCCAACTTGCCAACGCTTCTTGAGTCCACCAGTTCCAAGGCGATCGAAGTGATGGCGCACATGTCGGATCTCGAGCAAGACCTCATCAAATTCAGCCTCCCTGTGGTGCAGCCTGTCTTTCCGTCGGCAAGAAGGTCTTACCGATTTCACCTCAGAACGAGCCGTTCACTGCGACGGCACCAACCACGAGCCACTAGTACCCTCGAACCCAAAGATATCGCCAATAATGGCAGGCACGTTGCTCACGAAAACGTCATAATCACCAACATGCTCGCTGCGAGCTGCATGTAGCTATCCGACAAAATCCGCTTGAGCACAGGCTCAGTGAAGATATGCACCGAGTAGTCTCGCAGCACCTCCCTGAAGTCCAGACTCAGCAGCACCATCGTCTGTGCACAACCCAGACCCGACGGTAGACGCAGTCGTAGTCATCTCCTTCCCATAAGACTGCCGAGTCTCGAGCGACGTCGTGTTGGCAACTTCCTTGCCGGAATGTACGATCCATCTGAGTATTAAGCAGCTAGTTTACACTTGCCAGCACATTTCTAGGCTTCAATGTTATGCATAGCGTCACTCGATATGAACAAACCGCAAATATTGCACATTCTTACGCTGTCGTACCGACGAATGATGACAGCTTCAGCCCCACTTCAGCAGCGAAGAGCTTGACTGATCTTCCGACTAGTGGTCCCTCCTTGCTCAGCTCTACATCCGCCACAAGAAGCAAAGCCAAGCATACACTCGGTTTGTCTGGAGTGCTATTCTTCTCTTTTGAGCTCAAAGTGGCATTCAACTAAACACACCAGGTTCACATAAAACCAAAAAAACAAAAAAAATTGTGGTAGAACCAAAAACACCTGGTGTTTTGGTCGTTCCGGTTTTTGCAACCAATGGTTTTTCCAACTCTGGTAGAGGACCGAAAAAGGCGTGTGTGGGCAGGGCCCGCTCCGTCGCTGTCACATCAGGATTGCTTGAAAGGTGCTGGTGGACATTGGTGGATGGGTCGTGGCTTAGTGATTCGATTCTTATCGTTGAACGCCGTGGGTTGCGTCTCTTGCTACTCGCCGCAGTATTCCAGTCGGGGTTCGTCAGCGCCAGCTGGCGGTGGGATTATAGCTGAGATCCCAAGGGTTGTTACGAGTCTTTGCAGATGTCGGCGCTGATACCCGGAGTGGCGCAGGGGCTTGAGTAGAAGGTCCCGATAGTAGCGTTCAACATGGAGTGAGATGACAGCCTTGATCCGAGCTTGAACGTCGATCAGGTTGGCGAAGAGGTCGTGAAAGTGGATATCGTCCCGGTGCATCCACAAACACCGCATAACCACAGACTGTACGATGTGGAGGATCCCAAAGAGGCTGTAGCCGTACTGGGTCTTGGCTGAAGGCGTAGGCGTAATCTTGAACCAGAGGAGTGATTCCCACTCTAGTGGAGATGTGAAGAAGCGATGGAACGTGGGAAGCCAGTCGTTCCACACGTGCACGGCAAAGGCGCAGTACCAAAGGAGGTGGGGCGCGGGCTCCAGCACACCACATCCATGGTGGCACAAGCGCTGTGCTTCGTGAAAATGCTGAAGCCGGTAGCCGAAGAAGAGGGCGTTGTGTTGAAGCCGATACAGAAGAAGCGAATAGACGGGCAGGGCGTGCTTCCGCATCTTGATGTCGCGTATCCACATCGATTGCGGAGGCCCTCTTTCGACACCTAGGCGAAAAAGAGGGAGATCGGGGGTTGGGGCTTTGGCTAGAGTGCTCCGGATACGAGCTACGCTAAGCTCCGCCACTTCGTAGGTGTCAAACACCCACGCATGAGACGCAGCGTAGTATCACAACGTCTGGCTAGGGCCAAATGGGGATGCCGTGAGCGAACCCAATAGGCGACCTGTCTTATCCAGAAAGCTGGCGCAGAAGCGCACACTGGAAATCCTCCCCGTGATGAATTGGCTAAGATATTGCGATAGCGTCTCGGCCGTCACAGGGAAAAGCTCCAGGGGTCGAATGATACCTTGTTCTGCCAGCATGGAGATTAACCCCAGTGGACGAGACGTTCCAGCCGGGTACTACCTCGGTAGCGGTAGGCGATATCCAATAGCACGAAGTGCCAGTAGGCCCCGAGAGCGGTCCAGCGGGGAGACCTACAGGAGATCACGCAGTCCGGACTGGTAGCCACAGGCGCGTACCGGAAATCGAGTCTTTTCCCCAAGGGGCTACAGCTTGTTCAAAGAGGCGAACAACCAGGTCCGCCCAAGAAGGAATGACCGCTGCTAGGCGGATTCTCCCAGCAAGAATCACCTTGCAAAGCATGTGCAGCTGCAGACTCTTAATCATGTCGGAAATGGGCGTAATGCCTAATCCGCCTTTGTGTGGAGGAGGGAACCACCATGCTCTGGGCAGAGCGTTGGAAGACCTGAATCGGCAGCGGAAGCGTGATATTAGCTGGAGAAGCTGGTCTTGGAATCCGGTCTGAGGGATATGGCAGACACTGCCTGTGTACC